AGTTGAAGTCCACATCTCTTCAAGTTGCCAAGGTTGAGAAACACTGACTTATACACTATAATACAATAATACTATTCCAGCTTACATACAAATTTGACTTAAGGACAGACCTTGGGAAGAGAACTCGCTCTTCAACTGGGGACTCCCTGAATTTATCCAAAGGATTAAATCTGGCTCTAAACAAACCCTTGATTTCATGTGATGGTTTAAACCTGATCCGTTTAAGCCCCTGAATCCTCACGGTGATTTACACCGGAGGCAGGAAATGACGGGCCAAACCCTCAACTCAGCTGCCGACGTGGGAAACGCACCAATCTCGTGATCTTGAATCTCCAAATCAGGAAAAACTCTGCTTTTGCGTCGGTCCGTAACGCAAGTCTGCCAATCACAAAAAGACGCCCGCCTTGCGTGAGACCGTAAGTATGTTTTTTTTTGCAAACCCCCCGTGCGTTAGTCACAGTCATTTTCTTGCAGACACCCATGGGTTAGTCATGGCTAATCAGAATTTTACCTCAAAAAAAACCAAAACCCTAACACATTCCCTCTGGATGAAAGGATTCACCTCCTTAAATAAAACGCCTCCCAAGATTCTAGTCCTTAAGGCAGTCCAGCAAAGGTGGGCAACTTATAGTTAATTAAAGTTAGTTGAAACGTAATTCCATTCTTTCGTCACGGGCCTTGCTGTACGGCGGATGGGATCCGAGTTATCCGATATTTGGAGAGTGACATGGGACCCACGGCTGGTACATTGGAAGGCATCCTTTGGATAAAGCTGGAGGAACGTCTTAGTAGCCAAGGAACAGCTAAATAAAATTCCCGTGTGGCTGTACCACCTTAAAGCATTTCCCCCAGCTCCTTCCAATTTCTTACCCAGTGCAGGCTTTCAGCACCCAAAATAATGTCCTGATAAACCAAAGCTGAGAATCTGGGCACCTGTGGCCCCAGGGCCCTGCAAATTTTAATCAAGAGAGGCTTTCAGCACCCAAAATAATGTCCTGATATACCAAGGCTGGGGAATCTGGGCTCCTGTGGCCCCAGGGCCCTGCAAATTTTAATTTTTTTGGAACTCTCTGCCCAACGAGGCACCAACAGCATAAAGGAAAGCAATGTTTCTGAAAACAAGGCAAATTCTGACACCCTGGAGCAGCCGCCGCTGACCCCAATCTGTAGGGTTTATTTCTCTTCCTCCTATGACTGTGACCCACTTCTGACTCATTTCTTATCCCACCTCGTCCATCAGCCAGGGGGTGTGTTTCTCGTACACTCATTGCCGTCTGCAGATAAGCAAAGTGTTTTCTTTCCCTTAAGCCACCGGGATTGCGCAAGACTCCGGTCCACAAAGAGTGACGCTGGTCCCTGAATCACTTGACTCCCCCCAAGGGGGACAGGGTCATCAGCCAGCGTGTCTGCACGGCAGGGGGGAAAAAACCTCCCCCCTCCTGACTCCCGTGGGTGCCACTGAACGTCTTTTGCAGGGCGGAGGTCTGCATCTGTGGATCGTACCTGCTGATCTCTTCGGCTCCCATGTGAAAAAGCAAATCCGACGAGGTTAAGCCGAAAACCACCCCGTTGATCTCTAAGGTGCAGGGATCCGAGACGAACAGCACTCTCTGGAGTTTGCAAAGAAAAAGGGAAAAAGGAAATAAAAATAGGGAGGTGGGGACATTGGGCAACCCTTCGTAGGCCAGTCCCCAAACCAGGGGAGAAGCTATCCAAGCCCGTGAATGTTGGTTTTTTATTTTCATTGCAAAGGTGGAAAAGAAACAGAAAAGGTAGGTGCTTGTATAGAATTCCCTTTTCTCCTCTTTAAAAGTCCAGACTGACTGAATTCAACCACTCCTACCTCGGGGCCCTATCCCGGAAGTGGGACTCACCCCGCCTTGCAAGGGACTCATGCTTGCAAATTTTCATGCAAAGATTATTACAGAATCTCGGGAATCGTGATAAGATAAGCCCTCTTTTGTTCGCAAGATCCTTAAAGGGGAATCTCGATGACCCTTCTGATTTTTTTCTTCTTCCGGGGCTGTCTGCAGTCCAGACTGAGCTGCGGTTTGGGATAAGCTACCAACAAACGGCACGGACGGCCAACGTTCCTCCAGTCCTTAGGGTTACATGTAGAAGTTAAAACGCCAAATAGATCGATTTGTTTAAAATAGATCGTTTATTATCACTGGTGCTCTTAAGGCTTTTGATGATTAGGTTGAGTTTTGAGTATTTTTCATCGTTTGGGGATGAGAAAAGGGACGAAGAGGGCTTTTTTTTTAAGGAATATTAGAGAAGGCGTTAAATAACTATTAATGCATATACTTGTTTGGAGGGAGGGGGAAGTCAACTTTGATATTTATTTCTCTCTCTTTTCTTTTTTTCTTTCTTTTTGCTTGTAGGCCTTTCAGTGTTGTATTAGTTTTTATGTATATAAACTTTAATAAAAATATTATTAAAAAAAAAAGTTCCTCCCATTCTCAGCGCTTCACAATCTCTCCCACGGGAGGCGGATGTAGGAATTTGGGGTTCCGATCAAGCCTTTCGTAAGACCTCAAGACCTGGCTGTTCCTCCAGGCATTTGGGCCAGGCAGTTATTGATTTGGGGGGTTACTGTTTAATTGGGGTGTCAGGGGGCTATATCGTTGTTCTTGCTATTATGATTACTTTTATCCTGCCTTGTTTAATTATAACTCAAGGGGATGAACATGCCTAGTTTTCCTGCCTCCTGTTTTCCCCGCAACAACAACCCTGTGAGGTGGGCTGGGCTGAGAGAGAGGGACTGGCCCAAAGTCACTCAGCTGTCTTTCCTGCCTATGGTGGGACTCGAACTCACAGTCTCCTGGGTTCTAGGCCAGCACCTTGACCACGAAACTGAGGTGGCTCTCACATGATGGTCTTAATGGTGGTTTTAATCTCAGTCTGCCACTCAGAGTCACTGCCGTGAGACAGCTATGAATGCTTTAAATAAGTACATATTTTAAAATGAAAATGAAAAGGACTGTCAAGCATGGCTCAGGGATGCAAGCTAAGATCGTCTAAACCTTGACCCCCCCTCCCGGTGGCTTTCTCCAAGCCAACCTTGTCCCAACGTGCTGGAACCGCAACTCCCAGGATTCCTCAACTGGCATGGAATTCTGGGAGATGGAGTTCCAATCCACCCTGATGGCGTTCCAACCACCCCAGACCGACTTTAATTGCAAATTAAACAGCCACGGGACATGGTGAATTCTGCTGGGGAATTCCACGCTTGAGCAAGGACGGTCTGGTGATTTTTTTCCCAGGGGGTTCCTTAAGCAAGACGAAAACCAGCCAGCCAAGGACGCACCAGAGGCTTGAGAATGCCTGGCCTTCCGGCTTTCTCTGGATCTTCCCCAGAAGGGAATCCCCTGCCCTTGAGAAATGGTGCGGCCTTTCTGATGGGTGTGTGTGTGTGTTTCTGATTGCAGAAAAAGGAGAAAACTGGATGCACAAAGAAGATTTCACAGAATGAAAGTGGCCAGTTTCCCCTTTTGAGAACAGCTGAGTTTCTACAGCAGTGTTTCTCACCCTTGGCTGCTTGAAGCTGGGTGGACTTCAACTCCCAGAATTCCCCAGCCAGCA